GAGCTTCCGTAAGAGCCCTATCTGTAATGAAGTGTTCGGGACGCTGTTGGCTTAAGCCTTATAAAAATATCAAAAGATTCTGAAGCGCTGGTAAAGGTGAAACACGCTGTAGCGGTGAACGACATGCCTATTGAAGCTATTGCAGATAGTGTTGGTCGTTGACACGAATCCATAGTTATGAGACATTTGTACTAGACAGTGACTCGGAGTACGGATTTACTAGTGGTCGAGGTTTTTTGAATTTTCTTTTTTTCTGAAAAATCATAGGTAACATTTATGACTAACAAATGGTAGAGCATTCTCGAGGCTTCAATCCACGAGGTGGATATAAGTGCTGCAGTAGTAGTTATCCAAGAAAATTCAAAAAACCTCGACCACTAGTAAATCCATACTCCGAGTCACTGTCTAGTACAAATGTCTCCATAACTATGGATTCGTGTCAAAGACCAACACTATCTGCAATAGCTTCAATAGGCATGTCGTTCACCGCTACAGCGTGTTTCACCTTTACCAGCGCTTCCGATCTTTTGATATTTTTATAAGAAGCCAGCAGCGTCCCACACTCCATTACAGGTAGGGCTCTTACAGAAGCTCCACTACATATTCTTCGTTATGGGCACCATTGTGTAGGTAGAGGCCTAGGCTGTGGAATACCAGAAGCTGGCCGAGGCAGCTCGTCAAGAGCCCTCGTACCGCGACAATATTCATTTCTTTCATGACATTGCGAATCACCATGATCCGAAATGAGCCCGGTAAGAAATTCTGGAGTTGCGGCAAGATTTCTTACCTCTCTTAGCGTATTCCCCTGGTCGAGCTAAATGACTGCCACCTATCCTGGACCTTAAATCATCATCTTGATGACGAAATAATTAGACGATCAACTCCAACTCGAAAGTGAGGTCGCCTCCTTTCTCGACCCGCACTCCGCTGGGTTTTGGAAAAGGAGCATCAAGAAATTTTCTGAGCGTTGAAGACAAGTGGTGGACACTCATGGTAGATATATGACCGGTCAGGAGTTGTAAACAAAAAAGATAAAATTAAAATCAAAAATTTGAAAAAGTGTCGCAGGACTTTCTTCCAACCTAATACTTTTTTTGAAAATCCCTGGGTCCAGTGTGCAAATTCGCATGTGTGTACCAAATGCTTCAAAATTCTTGCTGAGAGCTACAACTTCCGCCCACCAAACCAACATTGCATTTGTTGGAGGGAATACTACCATTTAAAATGCTCATCGGTTTTTCACAGTTTTCTCAAAAGACAGTGAAGTCTTTGAAGTGATGCCCGCAATCGTCGTCAAAAAGGTGGCCCTAGTTAAATCAGTCGAGACGGGGCTGCACCAGTCTTGTGCTGAAATGGTAGGACACCTTGATGCACAAACGCTTTAACGAAGTTGATTGCACAAGAAATTCTAATAAATGTGCTCATCTGCTACTCACGTGTGCTCAAAAAGGGTGCGTTTTTGACCCTATGTGGCAAAAAAGACTCCGGGAAAAATTGTCCAGTTGAGCTGGTAAGTTTAACTTTTCCACCATACAGTGCAGACCCTACTCTAACTAACTGTATACTTCTTTTGTCCAGGCCTAACTTTTAGCAAGTGAGAGGGATGATTTGTCAGATGATGTCAAAACCGACCTACCTCTCTTTTTCGACTCAAAAAATTCCTAGCTTTAATCGTACGAGGTTTCCACTCATACTGGTAAATGGGAAAGTGCTAATGAGTCATTCGATGAATATGCTGTTTCACTCCCCGGATTCTGAATTAAAATATTGGTGGTCCGAAACTCGTGGTGAAAAAACGACACTAAGATATCCGGTACCTAATACAAAGCATACATCAGCATACATCAGCTGGGCGTAGCCCCGCCCACAGTGGGCTTGGCGTGCATCGAAACGAGCTGTATAAATTTGTATAGCCGAATAATAGCCACTCCCTCTCTAGTCTCCTAGCTGAAACGAATAAATTCATTCAACTGAGCAACGACAGACTCATTTGGGTTGGTGTAACACCCTATGTGCCTCCATTTTCATCTGCATCCTTTACGAACAAGACGATCTGATATGATGGTGATCAATTCCAGGTGCGGAAGAGTTGAGGCAAGCGGGACCTTCGAAAGTTTCATGTGGAGTTCTTACCTATGCTTA